GATATATGTACCGATTATCGTTTAAAGATTACGTACTCTTTTAAATAAGAAACCTTTGTTTGGATAAAGGTGGTTTTTTTAAACTGTCATTAAATTTTAACATTAAAAGTTGCTTACAAATAATGCTTATAATGGGAAATAACTTTGATTTTTGAAAACTTACAAAAAATTAAAACCAAGGGGGATTAATAACTTTGGTACTGCACCACATCAAGTGAAAGTCTTTTTGAGCAAACCGTAGTGAGTTTTTAAAGCTTTACGTTGTTAACGTTACATGTTTCATGTTTTGTGGCCTGTGTATTTATTTATTCATATATTTTCCAACGGATTAACACCTATAATACAGTTTGATTAGAAGGGCAGTTTGAATTAGTCGTAAGTACTATAATTCTTTTCTTAAGTGTAAACGTTGGTTTTTGGTACCGGTACTTTTCCTTAGAACCGGTGGTAATTCATGAGAGCTACGAGTCAAATATTTGGTCTTCTATGAGTATATCTTTTCTGAATTTACTATTTTTTTATATTCTACACTCGAAAACATACAGTTCAAATATTCCGTCTCAAACTCTTCCTGTATAATATGTTTTAATTTGAATTGAGAAAATCAAACAATGAGTAAACCCAATAAAAGCCCTTTATATAGATTGACATAAGAACGATTTTGTTCATGAGAAGTTGATCAAATTTTTGTAGAAGTGACGAAAGTAAATAAACAAACTAAGGAATTTTTTTGGCTCAACTGGAACACAAACTGGAAAACAATCAGAAACCCGATTCCCACAATTCACAATGAAAATCGAGCCAAGCACTGATCAGTCAATTTGGGCCGTAAGAATCTCACGATTGCCAAAATCTTCTCCACAACCTCTGACCCCCCCCCCCCCAGGTGACCCAAGGTCAGTCGATATCGTCCCCCAATCACAACGTCTCGTCCCCAAAGTGTGTGTTTTACCGCACGAACCCAAACCCAACCTCCATAACCCCGAATTTTCATGTGTAAATTTCTCCAAATTAGGCGTGCGCTTTGTCCATTATTTCTCCTTGTATCCGGATACTAATGATGGCGTGTCCATTATCTAAATTCAGACATTACTGGTAAACAAGGGGCTTGTATTTGTAGTGAGATAGTGTGTGGGAGGGTAAAATGTATATTTTGTCCAACCAAACGTTTTTGTAATTTGTTTATATTTTATCACGATTTTCTGTTTCTTTTCTTTACTATTTTGACGATTTGATTATACTGCATTTAATTGTTTATTCTGTCGCATCGAGTTTGAAATGTGTAATTCATGCCTACATGAAACAAAAATCAACACTAAAATGGTGGTGATATAGCTTGAGGAAATGTCGCACGAAAGTTGTGAATACTTATTAATTCCTTACTTACCAATGCCAACAAGAAGATATATCTCTTTATTGTTTGTGTTTGTCTACTCAGTTGCATTATATAATGGTATTTTTTTTCTGTGATTGCAGTATGTTTATGCATTTCAATAGTTATAGAACAATCTTTTATCCAAGAAAACTTGGAAAACGAAACTAAATGTATTTTATGCAAATACATGAAATTTTCTAGTCTGAAACATATTTGACTTGGATAACATGTCCGGTATTGTTTTAGTGAGCTGATGTCAATTATATGCGCATATCCTATATTTTATATTCTATATTACAGTTTGCGTTCTAATATAAAAAAAAAAAACAGTAATGTCTACTAGAGGACTGGTATAAATTTATAGACGTTCGTTTGGTGATACTAGTTTTGAATTCAATTACAAGGAATAATTATTATACCCTTACATTTGCCAGAAAGAAGCGCACTCAGTCCTCTGCTGACTTTTTAAGATGATAAATCTAAATAGATTGTGTTTCATCTAATGTATTACACAACCGTACCAGTAGCTTCTGTAGTGTAGGAGAAACAGAACGGCTCAGAAAGTTTACAGTCATCAACTCTATATTAGCTAACTCACCTTCGTTTGGGCTTTCTTCACTTTCCCTCTCAAAGGTGTCCTCCGTATATCTTCAGGAAGTAAACTCGGGTATTAATTCTTTTTGGGGTTCACTTTCGTTTTTAATGCCACCTGGACCATTTCCCGCCAACAAAGCGATGCTTTCCCGGGGAAAGTGCAGCTTCGTCATTGTTGATATTTCACTAATCCTATTATTATTGTTATGGGCAAACCTCTATTGTAGAATGGTTTGGAAATGGCATACGGGTTTTGGTTGTGTGGTATACGTTTTAGAGAGGTCTGTGATGTTTTTGTTTGGAGAACTATTTGTTAGACAATTTATTTCACACACAACTTGGATGGTTTGATAGTTTATTGGACTACGTTCCCAATTCCAGTGTGAAGAAAGTTTAGATTTCATACCTTAATGTTATTTTGTAAAATCGATCACCACTCACCATCCTTTATATGTATTTACCGTTTTTTGAAATAACAGTGTGTTTTAAGAGTGTTATTAAACGTATTTTATTTATTTTCTGTAAAATAAATGATAACAATAATCGTTCCAGCTTACTAAGTTTTAAGTTTTTAAGTTTTAACTATGATGAAATTCATACGGGCTTAGGTAATCATAATTCCATAATGATTACACCATATTGGATATTTACCAGTTTTCGCTCCACATTCCATCGAACGATCGGTATGTTATAGCTAACAGTTGTACAATTCAATTAGTCACATAATCTCATTAGCATAGCTTAACGCCTAATTAATTGGTGAACGAATGTGTGAGCATAGCTGTACTCTCTCTTTCGAACAGTTCAAAAATTTGAATATTCCTTAACAACGCGTAAAATCTTTGGCGTATAACTTGTTTCAAATATATTCCTAGGAATCAGGAAAACACTGTCAACTTCCAAAGTTGTCTAATACGTTCAGTATCTATGCATTATGCACGGTAAATTATGACGCCCTTGTACAAATAGCAAATACTATAACATTCTTCAACAGCTGTTGCATAACATTTTTAAATAAACTTCCTTCAACAAGTTATCAAACTACGGGATTTAATATCACCTGTCACCGATACGTTCGATCGTTAATCTTAAACGAAAGCGTAATGAAAGTAGTACCTGGCGCGGATGAATATTTATATGAGACACGGTATAGCGAGTGGCTTTCTACTGGTGATAAGGGGCAGATCTTCGTGCGATAGCCAATGTCCGAAACTGCAGACAATCGCCTTTATGAACACTACTGTGTCATGTAGGGTGAAATTGTTTTACATTTCCAATTTGTTTAATAGCCTCTCTCGCAGTCGTTTAGGAGTTCGCTTGTAGTATGTTGTGTGGTGCTTTTTTTAATTCGGAAGGCAACGGATTGTGATGGGCCTTCAAACCTTTTAACAAGATTTTAGGATCTATAAAGCTTCATCATTGAGCTCAAACATCATTATTTTAGTTGACTGTATTGCAAAGGCCAGTTAGAAGACTTGAAAATAACCGAAGTCAAGCTTTTAAATGTCAGGTTAAAATTCCTCCTGAAATTTTGATTGCTATTTTTAACACCATTGGCTGAAATGTTGCGGTAACTAAGACTTACAAACAGTACTGTCAGTTAGACGGTAGACTGGGTGGGTCTTTTTGAGAAGAGGTTTATTTTTTAAATTTGCCCGATACAAAGGAAGGTCACCTTCATTATTCAGACACCAAAAAGTCATGTAACCTTCAGGTAAGGTTTGTTTACGTGACGTAAAAAACCTAACCTAAATAGCATCAGCCGTGTCCCTCTCTGTTAAAAACCCTACAGGGTACAATACACTGGTAACGAAAAGTAGCATTATTGTCCCGTATTTGGACAAAGTGCATTCCCGAAAATTGGACGGATTCAATGACTTCCAATGGACCATATGGCTTGCTGCATGTTGCCGAAAGAATTTTACCTGATTTTATTATTGTTATAATCCATATTATTTTTTTGTTATTTTTTTCTTACTGAGGATATTCAAATTGAACTCTGTCTGGTTAACGTTTTTCTTCCTTTTGCGTAGAAAATGTCCTAGCATCTTATATCTATATCAAGGCATTTTCAATTAAAAACTTCATTATTAGCATTTTTAATTCATTTTATGTTCTCAAAGCACTTTTCAGTACTATCTTTGGGTTTTGGATACTTATATCAACTAAAGAGGGTAGCAGAGTGAAAAATGCTTACATCACAGAATAAGCTTTCTTGGTTTGACGGGCTCTTATGGAAACTGGATTCATCTGTCTTCGATCATTGGGTTTGGTCCTGGCTATACCAGCTGATCTTAGTCAGTAACAAAGCTGTTAATTATTCATTCATTCAACACTCCGCCTTCATTATTCATTATTCTTGTCCTTCATCCATCGTCACCTTACAATATGAAAATTTATATCAAAATATCGTTATTCTCTTTCATCCATAAGAGCAATTGACACTGTCCAAAACAGAATAACATAGCATACGATCACTAAAACAAACAGATGAAATACAGTACATTTTCAGAAGCGCGCAGTAACCCCGATCTTGCTTTATTAAACACGTATCTAATTATTGAAGGACAAAAGCTTATCTACAGATTTGAAACGTTTGGATTTCAGCCATGAATCTAGGATTTGGGATCTAGGATCTAGGTTTTGAATTTTCATAGGAATTGTTACTGAGGAAGAGGGTAGTTGTAAATTGTATACTAAGATATTTGTAGTTATTGTGAGTAAGTGTAAGTTACCCGTACGTGTTTTTGAGAGGATGGCCATGTAATTTGCATGTAAGTCGGATTGGAGACTGATATGTAATAGGAAGTTAAAAATATCAAAAGATGGATGGGTGAAAAGATGCACCCTGGCGAGTTGGAGTCTAATATCTAATCTTCAATGGGCTTATTAACATCTAGTATAGGTGGGCACCCCGTCTATATATTGGGACCAGATTTGTTAACCTTTACTTCAGTTAAACTCATTAATTACATGTTATAATTAAGAACAGTTTACTAAATCAACTGACTTGATTGCACGGTTGTTCCAGCTCCTGGAGATGAGTTCAAGGAACAGTTCACCGACGGGCTGATAGGAGATCATTGGTGAGTTAGTGATTCATCAGTTTCAGTTTCAGTATCAGTCACGAAGGACCAAACTGATTCGCCACCCCGCAACATGAAATTATTAAGTATGAGTTCAGATTATAGATAACACATACCTAATTACTGTTACTCTCACTGATGGAATAAGAAGTGCGTTTTAAAAAATCCGTAATTTTGCTTGCCAGTGTTTAGAAGAATTTTTCGTGGACCTAATGATACCTGCATAGGCCTACCCGATAAAAAATAGATTTTGTGCTTAGAAAAATTGGTAGAAAGTAAAATAATAACAAAAAGTCAACGTTAGACAGTAGTTAGACCATCCTCTTGAAAAATAACGTCGAAAAAAGAAATAAACACTAAAAACATTAGTAAAAGTTGTATATTAGTAGGTAACGTGTATACAGTAATCGTATATTTCACTACTATAGGGTGTAAAGTGACCCAACAATGTTTGGAAGTGACACTGATCGCTAGTGTCAACGAAATTTTTTAAATATTATTTTAGGTTTAATTTAATGATTTGAGCTTTACTGTTTGGTTACACAACTAGGGGACGAGTGGTTTATGATCAGATATTTTTATTTTGCTAAACGAGGTCTGAAAGTGACTGAAATAACAAGAAACAAATTGTAAACTAAACACGACCTCTACACTGCACCGGACAGAACTAACAATACAATTGGCTTCAGCTGCTCCATAAGGATGAGAAATCTTAGGGAGTATGTTTTATTTATGCGTAGACCCACGACGCATGTATTAAAAAACTCTTTTTGCTGTGGTATGACGAATAATTATTTTTAACCATGTTTAACTTGCTAAGTGAGCCATATAGATAATTGCTAGTTCTGTCCGGTGCACAGGTCGTGTTTTGTTTACAATTTGTTTCTTGCTATTTCAGTCATGTACAACTTCGTTTAACCAGATAAAACGATCTAATCATAAACAATTACTCGTCCTCTAGTTACAAAACCAAACAGTAAAGCACAAATCATGAAATTAACCCTAAAATAATATAAACAAATTTCGTCGTCACTAGCAATCAGTGTCACCGGACATGAACTAGACACGAAAAACGAGCTTCAAAATGTACAATGGGATGAGAAGTCTACTTTTGTTGTCTTATACCCAACTGTTGAGCCGTTGGCTCCGTGTTTCAGTTTTCCCTCTCGTTTGTTTGTTGCTTGCTCTGGTTTCATCGGTTCATTTTACGACAGGCCCTCTCACTCTCTCTAGACAACTCCACAAATTAAAACTCGTGAAAGCCGAGACAACTCTTGGTCGATTATGAATGTCTTGTATCGTCAACCCAGTACGTACGTAGCAATTGATTTCCTTCAGTTTTGGGTTAAAGTTAATAATGGGACTACAAATTGGGGAAGAAGTCTTGGAAGGATCTATGTGATATGTAAAAAGTATATGAGTCTTTATCATCGCCATTGGCGTTTATTAGTTTTTTTCATGAGCGAGCGACCCAAACCCTGTCTCTTTGATGTCCACCTTTTATTAACCATTAATCTTAAATATCAGGTGATGTAGGTCCAGAATATATTTCACTACTAGCAGAGTACCCGTCCTTCGTACGGGGTTGGCATAAGTATAAACGGCTTATTGCGGTTATACTCGAGCTTTGCGTTTGCAATGGGGGAGGACAAAGTTTGATAACATTTGCTTCTTTAAATTTACAGTATTCTATATAGTATTACACATCTACCATAACCATAATGTTCTAATACTTCACCTAAACAATAGATAAACATAAATTATCAAAAATTCGCAAAGTATCACAAATTATCCATGAAATTAAAATCATAAACATAACTAACTGTAAACAATCCTACTTTGACAGTTAGTTCTCATTGCCTATTACAGTTTTTTATTGCTGCTTAGTTCAAATTAGCTGTTTTCATAAATGCAAAAATAGTTATTTGTGTAACTAGTGGTGAAAGTGGCACTTTGCTGCACACGAGAGCAATGTTTACGCACGAGCCGCAGGCGAGTGCGGAATGATCTCGAGTGCAGCAAAGGCCTTTTTCACTCGTGTTACACATTATATTTTTCCTACAGTCGTTATAAAGCATATAAATAATTAGTCTTTCAAACACTATACAACACGTTTTTAGGTTCAGCTGGCAACACAAATGGTGCCCTAGAGAATGTAGTACCCGCGGTCCGTATCACTCCGCTATTTTTCCTCGGCAATAAATGTGCTACGCGTTTTGAGAATATAGTTCCGCATGTTTTTGTAATTTGAAGTGGTTTCCGTGCCTGAAAAAAAATGCTTTAAAGGTATTTTCTTGTTTATTAAGATCGTAGGAATGTTTTAAAAACGTTTAAAAGAAAAGCCCAGAAAGTTCAGGAATAACGAAACTATAAACACGAAATGACAGGTTAAATCGTATTTATAATAGTCAATCAGCTGCTCATAGTATTATTATCTTTAAGTGTTGCCAACCTATTTCCAAGCGTACACGGATTACTTGCATAATAGAACCACGCTGTTTTGTGTTGTTTCGTTGGAATCCTGATGTGCGGCAAAGTATAAACCGTACGGCAAAGTATAAACCATACGGCAAAGTATAAATATGCAGCAATTAGCAGCTTTCTGTACTATAAACAGTACAAGGAAGCCAACTTTGTCGGGTGACTGTAGGAAAAATATAGTGCTGCTGGTGATGTTGGTAAATCTTATAAGTTTTTAATGCTTTTCCATATCATAGAACCAACTTTTTAAGTTGAAACAGCTGACTAAATTCTTTAATTTCCCTTTCAATATGAATACTCATAAGGTTAACATGGGGAACTAAAGAGCCACTGGGGCGGAGCCCGAAAGGATTTTTGAGATAAGAATATGCCTATATGTTAATCGGGATTGTGAGCTATCATCATGCCAAATTTCAGCCCAATCCGTCCAGTAGTTAATGCGTGATTGAACTTCAAACAAACAAACACACAAACTTTAACATTTATAATATTAGTAAGATAACGACTCCTCCATCACACTTTCGGTAAACACAATTTGAACATTAGAGCCTGAAAAGAGCGAAATAATTGTAAACTCGGACTTTGTGTCACTACAGATTAATCATCCAGTCATTGTTTTGACATGCTTGTGTATTACCTGACAATTTAAAAATATTTATATCTGGTGTATCTATAGTGTTTATTGATAGGCTTTTTGTTTTACACCTTTAAACAATTTTAACCAGATATAAGAATTGGTATGTAAAAATATTATTCGTCTTTTGGCACGATGTATTATGGAGGACTAAAACGTTACTGGACACAAACTAACATAACAGCTTCAGATTAAAAGGTGGCGATAATCCATAAATTAACATGCTTCTAGTATACTGTATAAAGTCATCAATAATACATCTCTGGTTTATATAATTACTAGTTTAATAGCAAATGCATGTATTTCATACGCCTAAAATGTGGATTTGGACACAAAGTAGTAAAATTTTACTATCGTTGTAATTTTTATCCTTTATCCTTTTATCCTTTTATTGTTTCAAAACTTCTTTGTTCAACTACTGAAAGCTTGATACGTGCTACCATTGACTTTTGGATTCCGAACCAAACATTCTCCTAAATCTTTTGGCAAAAGATTTAATGTGACATAAAATAGCTCACAAATATTACCCTTAATAAGACGGTGTATTCGAAATGAATCACTAATTATTGACAACACCGTTTTCTGCGGCTTGATTCCACCACGCAAGTTGTCATTCTAAAACGATCTTCAGTTTAAGTACACACCGAATATATTTGTATCAATACTCAAAATACCAACCCTAAGGTGTGGATGAAGATATAAACTGAAGAATTAAGTTTTCCAGAAGTCGCATTTAACTTGTCTTCACCATTATTTATCACTCACCTCAGGTTATTAGCTCATTTATCGTCGACTAGACTTGGCTCGCTCACTCAGTAACTTTCTTCAGCAAATCTCTCGCCCATCTTAATAAATCAAACTAACGAGATGTCTTTTTTGGAGCACAGTAGTTCAGATCTTCGTCTAGAGTGGTAACGGTTGTTTGAAGATTATTTTAGAGGGTTTTCACAATTACTTTTCTTAATAAACTCGTGTGCTGTTTTTTATACGAGTCTACAATGGCAAACTCATATTGGAGGGACCTATTTTGAATCTTACTAATATAATAAATGTGAAAGTTTTTGTGTTTGTTTGTTTGAAGTTCAATCACGCATAAACCACTGGACGGATTGGGCTGAAATTTGGCATGATGATAGCTTACATTCCCGATTAACATATAGGCATATTCTTATCACAAAAATCCTTTCGGGTTCCACCCCAGTGGCTCTGTAATTCCCCATGTTAACCTTATGAGTATTCATATTTAAAGGGAATTAAAGAATTTAGTCAGCTGTTTCAACTTAATAAAATGGTTCTATGATATGGAAAAGCATTAAAAAGATTACCAACAGGGTGCAGCACTATATATTTTTTTGCATTTATGAAAACAGCTTATTTGAACTAAGCAACAAAAAAGTGTGATTCGCAATGAGAACTGTCAAAGTAGGATTGTTTACAGTTATGTTTATGTTTTACATTTTATGAATAATTTGTGATATTTTGCGAATTGTTGATAATTTATTTTTCTCTATTGTTTAGGTGAATTGGTAGAACATTATGGATATGGTAGATGTGTAGTACTATAGAAAACTGTAAATTTAAAAAAGCAAATTTTATCAAACTGTGTCCTCCCTTATTGCAAACGCAAAGCTTGAGTATAACTGCAATAAGCATTTTATACTTATATTCCAACCCCGTACGAAGGACGGGTACTCTGCTAGTTATAAATAAATCTAAAAATGTTTGTTAGCAAAACTTACATTGTGAGAAATTTTGTATTGTGTTTAATGATTTGTGTTACTATTATTTGTATTATAACACGTTTTGGATTTATTTATTTTATTTAATTGATTCAACTAGGGCCTATATGTATTTTACCACAGCCACCTCTTTTACACATGACAACATCTCTTTAAGTTTGCAGAGTACCTCTTCTTGTTTTTTTATCTTATGCATATTCAAGCATTTTTTTTATATTTGTACTGTGTAGTATGTGTAAGATAAATTTAACAATACAGATTTTATGATTTTTTTGTAGAATGTAGCAGTACATTTGTGTATCACTCGTACACTATTGTATTGTGCAGTACAATACGCTTTAATGATGGTTTTGCATTTTACAGATGGCCGATGGCTGCAGGCGCTGTACTGCTTGTTGCCGCCGTGGTGTTCATACACGGCGCCGACTCTGGGTAAGTCACAATAGAATAAAATTCTATAGCATCGAATCCTATATCATCGAATCCTATATCATCGAATCCCATAACATCGAATCTTATAGCATTAAATCCTATAGCATCGAATTCCGTAGCAACGACACTCATACCGAATTACATTTGTAGTATGCCATATCACCGAATTATTTATTCTGTATCAACACCCGCACCACATACACATAAAGATATCCATAAAAACAACAGGTCACGTTGTGTGTTCAAGCTACTTAAACAAATTCCCAACCTATAAATTGAATCATATATTTAAATCAATTCGTCGTGATCTCAGTTAAGCGGGCGCGAGATGCGCAATCGCATTACAACTCTAACACAATCGCATTTGTATATCTTTACAGTAATATAATTTAGTATAAGTATTCAGAGGAGCGAAAGATGAGTTTTGGAGGAGATTATCTATCTCTCTTGCACTACAATCACTTCATTCCATCCCAATCGGCACGAGCTTTGCAGGATGGGTTTGATGGTTAAGCAGATCCATTAACTTGGATACCTAACAAGATATCAAATAGCTCATAATATAAATTGTCTAATGAATAAAAGTCCATGTATTTTTCACACTCATACCAACCTTACCAGAATTTGAACGCAATGGATACCCAATCGGAAACGTTATCTAACCGTACAGATGCATGAAGAATCTTTAGATTGCTAAATTGTAAACTGAGACTGTGTGATAAGAAGCACCAGGTCAAGATAATTCATAAAGGATTTATATTCGGTTGACCATAAAATATTTTCTAAATGCAATCGTGCAAATGCAATTTTGTAAATACATCATCATGATCATGATGCATTATGTTAAGGTCTAAAGACTTGGTCTTATTTCAATATTTAATAACATTTTTACTCTGTCGTATTTGTCCAACAGGATCAGATTTGATTATATTTTAAGTAACTTCTATAATGAAATATTTAAAATACAGAACCTAATTAAGTGTTTTAGATAGTGACAACACAGTGATGATAGATCTAAGTGACCGAATTGTGGTATTCAGTTACTAATTTGTTAATTTTTGTTCCAGCACACCTCCAAAATTCATAAAAGCAGCTTATGGAGTTCAGAAGGCGTTGTATGCTAAGGACTATGGCTACTCATTGGTGCCAATCCCACCGCGTATCCTGAAGCAGGCCTTCCCTCCCAAGAACCTTCCTCTGGTAGGTCCTGTCCCGGAGATCAGCAGACAGGGCCGAGCTCTCAAGTACTATAGAGGTCGCAGCTCCTCCAGGCGTAGAAGAAAGCGCCCCACCAGCTACAGGAAGAGGCCGTCGTCATATGGAGTTCCCGTGTACGCTACCAAGTACAAAAACTACATCCCCTCGAGGAGGCCACCACATATCTCGCCTTACAGCAGGTACAAGAAAAAGAGGAGACCCTACAGAGGACCTCCCAGGAGACCCACGACGTACAGAGAAGTCCCTCCGGAGTTTGACGATTACGAACAAGAAATCCCGACTGACGACTACGACGAATACGACCACAGAGATGAAGACTACCCTTACTTCGACATACCCTCCAAGAGGCTACCTCTGGAGTACGATAAGGAGTTTCTGAATCGTCACGCGGACTTGTACAATCGCGGGTATAACCCTGGAGTGCCTAGAGGACGACCGAAGGACGTGATCGGACAATACACCGACCATGTCAGGACCAGAGTGCGTTACCAGCCGCAGAAGGAAGAGCACCACGAACATCACGAACACCACGTGGAACACCCTGAAAAGCACGAAGAATCCCAGGAGAATTTGTGGCCTGGAGAGGTGTCCAACGTGCACACGAATCTGTGGCAAGACTCGGCTAGCCACTCGGATGCGATCTCCTGGGGGGAGGAGTCCCACACACCACCACCCTCTTGGCATGAACAGTCGAACGAGTGGAACAACCCGCGTCCCCCTCGTCAAGACAACCAGTGGCAAGTGTACCAACCACAGCAACACCAGAACCAACAGCAGCAGACGTTGCAGACGCAGCACTTCCAGTGGCCTCCGAGACCTACCAGAGCGCAGGACCTTCGGGCGTGGACGACGTCGTTGAGACCCAAGCCTCAAGCGGCTGCGGTCAACCATCCTTCCAGACCTGTAGTATCTAGAGAGCAGGAGACTCAGAGCACTAGACAGGTGTACAACTGGGACCCGGTCTCTCACACCTACCAGCTGGTGGAGTCAGACACTAGACCCAAGTATCAGTCGCACTACTCGGAACAGGACTTCCGTTACAGCACGCTCGACAGGAAGTCCACCGAGAGCAAGAGGAGCCACCGGGCCTACAGCGAGCCGGACATCGGGTACGGCCAAGGTATGGAAGTGATCGACGACGGGGTTGCAGGGTGGAAGGTGAAGAAGTGAGGGATACGAACAAGAGAACAGTTGAAAACGGGTTTAGTTATATATTATTTTACTCTTTTTGGCCAGGTTGTATATTTATTTTATGGGTTAACTATCCCAATAATCTAATATAAGTTTCATTTACTACGCAAAGCACACATTACTGCCTTAAATGTACATAGTCTTAATACGTTAGTACAATTATAGCTTATATCTGTAAGTAAATCTAATGTGTCAATGCAAATTGTGTATAGGACAAGTATTGATGATGTATATACCTTTTAGTCTAAGCCTCGTTGTTCACTACTTGTAGATATTTCCGTATATTACGATGCACTATTTCTGTAACTATTAACCGTCAGTTTTGAAAATTATTGAACAGTTTCTTTGTAGGAAATTGTTTTAATAGAGAATTATCACACTTTTGTTTAGTTTCGAGTACCTATTTTATTTATTTTTCTCTTTTCCGTGACCTTTCACCCTTGTTTTGCTTTTGTTATGTTTTTGTTTTGCTTGTTTATTGTTTATTTTGTTAAACCGTTTCACCGGTACTATTAGGCCTAGATATGTTATTTTTCTAGAGTAGTTTTAGTTCGTTGTTATTATTTATAGTAAAACATTGTAAACCAAAGCTGTACATATTATTTATACTTGTTAATAAATGATTTACGTTTGGATGGTCGCTCTTACTTTCTGTTCACTTTCTCTGTTTAATTGAGGTCTTTCTCCGACAGGTGGCGACAGGCTAGAGGCTCTGCTTATCTCACTCACACATTACACCCGTTACATTCCATATCCACAGATCTATGGTATTTAAATAATGAAGACTCAGTGTTAAAAACTGCATTTTAAGAGTTTAGCCTGGTAATTGACTTTTGGACATTGAAGAAGACGTCACAGTTTTATACCAGCTGGCACCAATCGTATATAATAAAAACGTCACAGGTTTTTTCATGATTCTGATCCACAACTTGACAAATTTGATTTTTGTGTTGAAAGAAAGATAATTTTGAAAGGAAGTGAATGTCGAAGCAATAATTTTATATAATTAAATCTAAGGCTTACCTTACGATCCAATTTATATATTCATCCAATTATATATCCAATTTTATATATCCATAAATTGGATCGTAAGGTAAGCCTTGGATTTAATTATGTTCAATAACGATCCAGAGGCTATATCTCCAAATAATTTTATTTTAGGATTTCAGTTTTTTACTTTAATTTTTGATTTTTAAAATGCTATACTATAATTTGTTAATTTTTTTTATTTTAACGCCAGTGGCATTTCACGAGAGAGTTACGAGAGATAAATGTTTAGTGAATGGTTAGTTTCAATGAAATTTGGTTTAACTAACAGCTAACAGCTGGTTTCAAACTGTTGATACAATTTTTACGTTAGAAGTTGTTAACAATAATATTGATCGTCAATAAAAAATGTGGTAGAATAAAAAGTATAAATAGTAAAACCCAGCCAGCTAGCATCGTGATAACTAAATTCTGAGGTTATTCAACGTAAACGTATTCGGATAACTATGAAAACAGCTGTCTTCCCTCCTCTCATCTGGGCTGCACTACGGACTTGGGACTAACAATGCGGTATAACTCGTCGCCGCACTCTAATGTTTATTTTCATTACTGAAAATTTTTTTAATCGATGCAGTCAAACGCTAATGTGCGGCCAAACACTACGGAAGTCCTAAAAAGTAGGAGGAAAACCAACGAGAAGAGAGACTTCCTTTTTAAAAAGATTGTCCAACTATATATGAGCTCCATAGCATGAAACCATGTAAAATTAATTATCATAGTGTAATTGTAATTGTAAGAAGAAATATCAGTACCTATGTAACGGAGACTATGTTATGATAAAGCGGATTAATCCACTTATGGTCATCTCAGTCAAAAACTCCTGGAAGAATTCAGTTAACTACATGCCCATTATATACATACACATTTCATATAGTAGATTCCCCAGTCTAATTGTATGAAATTATCTTTTAACATTCTTATCTATATGGTCACTTAGCTGCATTCTACAATGACAGTGAATAGGTTTTCCAAAGATAATTTGTAACATATACTCATACTAGCAGCAATACTAGCAAAGGCAATTCAACATGTTAATTGATTATAACTTAAAATCTAGTTGCCTTTGCAACGGGGCCAATATGCAAAAGAGACAATGTTGGTTATTTGAAAATGGCTTAAGAATGGTTTCACACCTACCATTTAATTTAGAAACGAAATTGAACCATATTAGTTAAATTGATAATAGTACGTTGTTGTTAACTCAGACTCGGAACACTTATATAGGCTACTTGGGATACAGTTCAATGATAGATTTTAAGTTATAATCAATTAACATGTTGAATGGTTTGTAGGCTACTGTAAACGAAAAGCTATCACAATAGTTCCAAACCTGTCAATAGTGTATTTTTCTAACTTATTTTTGTGAAATAATAATCAGGCAAATGGAAATATTTTCTTAGTCTGCAGGTTTGCTGCGGCAGGGGTATCTTATTCCTATTCAGACAAAAATTTATGTAAAAATAATTCGCATAAAACTCAGGATAAGAGTCTGGCTTATTCCCTGTAATAGTATATTTCATCCCTAGGGCCGAAAATGAGGTTTTGTTGACAGTTTCATTTAAGTAATGATGAATAATGTTTACATTCGGGCTAGTGACATAACTTTTTTTATGTTTATGATCCATACCCTTTCTGTTCTAATATCTGTGCAGTATTTAATATGTTTGAACCAGCTGTATGGAAATGCGAAATCAAAATTAATTAATTTGACAGTTGGTTCTGCTTGTTTACATTTTTTAACACATTTTTTGTTTACATTTTTTGATGGATACCATCAATCAATATTTACTTTTAAATCTCTCACCTCAGATTTTTGAAAGCCCACGGAGCAGAGCCCTAGGTCAATATCGTAGCGGGAATAGCTCTATATGTGTCCTCGGAGCTGTAGCTTCCTTTGTGTGCAATTTGAGCCAAGTCGGTTCAGTAGTTTTTGAGTTTATCTCATACATACAAACATACAGACACATAGACAGACACCACCTCTTCTTTATAATAGTAAGATAATTGCCTCTTACTCCTACTAATATTAAAGTGAGAAAGTTTGGATGTATGGATGGATGGATGGATGTTTATGACAAGTAAACGCAAAAAATACTACCGACACGGTAAAAATTTGGTATGATGATAGCTCACATTTCCGATTAACATATACGCATATTCTTATCTAAAAAATCTTTTCGGGCTCCGCCCCAGTGCCTCAGGAGTTTCCCTGTTAACCTTGTAATGAATGTTAACCTTACTCATATTTAAAAGGTACTAGGTGAACCTGTGCGAATTCGCACGAATAATAAATTAGGATATTATAGCAACGTCGTTAGAAGTTGCGTCGTTGTATCGACGTTGGTCTTGAGCTCGATCGTTTACTATATGCATTCTAAGTTCTTTTTGCTGTTCAGTAGGGGTATTTTGCAGGACGGAGCTCATCATGCTGAAAACTTGCGCGTATGGGTTAATATCAAGTTGAGTCAGTGCTGCAAGAGCCATTAGCTTTGTTTAGTATTCTTTCTTGAACAGCGGTTTCGAAGTCCGTAGGTATAAATTTGGGCATATTTGGGATGCTCCCCTTCTGACGGTTGAAAGGTGACAATCGGGTGATAAATTGTGTCGTGCACCTTATACATGAAAGGCCCTCCACCGGTATGTTCTTCAATTTTAGATCGGATGCTGACCATTGCGAGCGCAGAGTTGTACGATCTACTAATGTTCTCTTTGTAGTTTCTGCTCAAATGATTTGCTCCATTAAGTAGGCTCTTAATATAATAGATTTCTTGGTATGGTGGTAGATTCACTTTGCCTTTATGGCAGCAGGATGAAAATCCTTCGCATCGTCCTCTTTGTTCTTCTTTAAAATGTAGCGCACCACATTTCTGACATTTTAATGCCATCTCGCCAAGTGAATGCTGCTGAACTCTTGTTCTTGGCAGTGTAATTTTGTAAATACACGTTGCTACTAACTTTTCCAGCTCTTCGTCTGGGCTCCTTCCGTTTTGTATTGCTTGCCGTATGTTGACTCGCTGTGTCCGACCGGCAATATTTCTTTGTCGTCGGGTCCTTGGCATGTTCAAACGAAAATATAATGTAAAACTTTCCTCCCGTCGTGTCCTATAGGTAACATTTCTTTACCGGGTTCCTAATTATTTTTAGAAAAATGCAAACTGTTTACATTTCAAAACCAAACAAAACAGCTGGGATTTAACTTTTTTTGAACTAATGTATTGACATCTGTTTCAGAATATAATAACATTCAAATCAATCACAATGTTATCCTTATGGAAGGAACTTTGAGGGCAGCCCACGCCCTTAAAAATATATATTTCGAAAATCTAAAGCCAGTTTGCACATCTACACACCTATAAAATTTTGGTATATAATATGTGGAGTTAAATCTTAAAATAAAAAAGCCTTATTGTTCACAAAGTTTCATGTCGCGTATCTATATAAATAAAATTACAGTTTTGTCTGTACATTGCTTAGAATCATGCAGTTTTTGGTTATTTTAACGTTTCATAGCCTAAGAAAGCCGAAACGAGTCTTATCTCAATTTCTGTCTGTATGTCTGTCTGTCCATTCTGTGACTCCGTCTGTAACGCCAAAATGCCATTTTACGCGGCCTACTCCTAGGAAACTAGATTACCGATCAAGTTTCTAATCATTTTTCTGTATTTACTGAATTGATGAGAGTGTCTTTGGCTATAAAAACATGGCCTCGCTTCTTTGAAAACAAAATAACAAACCACCAAAAACCCAATTTTGTTAGATTTTTGTCAAATTTTCTCCCAATGTTTACTATTACATTTTATGAAATAACGAACAGCTGTTTGGATTAGTTCTCACTTCTAGCTCTCACTGACTGATATGTTTACATTCAAAGTTGTTTACAAATACCGCAACCATTTGCGATCCGAAACGGCACACGGAAGATTTCTCAGGTGCCGTTTGACGTCACTAACTGCTGACGTCACTTTGAGGGAACACCAATACCGCAACGATACGAGTTGAGCCATCGGCCTCGGTGGTGCAGTGGATAGTGTGGCGGGCTGATAATCCGAATGTACCGGGTGCGATTCCCGCCGGCAGCACTAACTTTTTATCAAAATTTTTTTTCATATCAACAAGTTTGGTTGGTTTGGTTAGGTTATGACAGTTTAATTTTATAATTAAAAAATCGAATTTTAGGCATTTATAATTTTATTTTATGAACAAAACTATTTTTTAGATTAGTAAACCTTTATTCGATTTTTCTATTATCAGCACGTTTGGTTAGTTTGGTTAGGTTATGACAGTTTAATTTAATAATAGAAAAATTATAAAATTGTCTGTTTCTTCAGACGCAGCAGTTAGTAACGTCAGCAGTTAGTGACGTCAAACGGCACCTGAGAAATCTTCCGTGTGCCCCACCGTTTCCGATCAAGTTTAGTCAGCACATCCAAACCAAGTGAGATTAAAAACGTTGTGCCTTACTTAACCTGTTTAATTAATCGCAAATGCAACGATTGTTCTTGAGTTTTAATAACCGGGGAAAATACCGTGAAGCAGTGTTGTATTAGTGCAAGGAAACTTACATTTTTTTTAATTATCGTCACCAATAGCTTACAAAAAAGGTTTCCACTCAATGACGGCGCCTTAAGGACTAAAAAATCACAACTGCAGTGGGTGATCGTGGATGTTGCTGCGATCTTGGAAGATCTTTCTGATTTCGCTGTGATCGTACCGTAACAGAGGTTTAACTTAACAGATGTAGCTAAACTCGCTTATCCAATGTGTCACTTTTGGTTTCTACTTACTTACATTTCGACAACGATATCGGTACTTTTCCTAATTAGGAAATAAAACTACAAACGTACAAAACCCCAGATTTGTGCGTTTTTGTCACATTTCCTCCAAATGTTTGCTAGATATATGTACCGATTATCGTTTAGAGATTACGTAATCTTTTAAATAAGAAACCTTTGTTTGGATAAAGGTGGTTTCTTCAAACTGTCATTAATATGTTAACATCTTTTCTTAAATGTAAACGTTGGTATTTGATACTGCTACTTTTCTTTAGAACCGGTGGTAGCAGTAAGAATCATTTTTACATACAAACACATCACTATTTTCAATATTTATTTATAAACACTGCACCTTATTGCTTATTAAATTTAATTGATGTCTTACTGTATAATTTTTAGCGTTTTCTGTCTGGACTCCAAAATGTTGTGTGGACTCAATTCTGTATTTGTGTGTGTATGTCTATTGGTAACGCATTAATGTCCTTATTTTTCGTGGAAAAGACAAGAGAACCATTGTTAATAAAAATTTCAACCCGAATAAAGTGTGCAGTAGTGAGGTTGAGGTAGTGTTTTAACTACTTTTAACCAGTGTGAAAAGCAACTTTCAATTACAGGCCTACCTTAGGGATATGCCTCATAGATCTATACTGTAAAGCAATTCCTTTTATCGTTAGATATAAAATATGGACTAACACGATCGGGTGACATTTAATTGCGAAGCATTAGTTTTGGCTTTGAAACTGTCAGATATTCTATTTGAGAAGGTTTATATATATTCCTAAACAATTATAGTTTTGCCATCATATCTGGAGAAATGCACACTAAATATGCAAACCAACTCCTGTTCTGAAGATAAGGTTTTAACTTACTACAAGATTCCCGTACGTAGAACGGGCAAACAGCTAGTTAAATATATAGATTGAAGAATTCTATCAGCTGTTTTAACTGCACAAGTTGGTTAAAAAGTAATAAATTTTACCAACGGGTTACAGCACTATTATTTTTTGAACTTATGACAACAGCTAATTTTAACAAACTAGCAACAAAAAGCTGTGGTACACAATGAGAACTTTTCTTTTTTCTATTGTTTAGGTGCAGTGGTAGAACATTATGGCTATGGTAGCTGTGCAATACTATAGCATACCGTATGAATTTAAAGAACAAAATTTTCTTAATCCGTGTCCTCTCCCAAAACTACAATAAGCATTTAATACTTATATGCCAACCCCGTACCATTTAGACCATAGACGGGTACTCTGCCAGTTAAATATAGATTAATGTTTCAAATAAATAAGCGAACAGCTGATTTTCGGCCCTAGGGATGTAAGTGGAGTGTGGAGGGCTGAGCAGTCCGAGTGAAGCTCGAACTCTCGGCCCTCACTTGGCTTCTAAACCACCCTCGTCAAATTGACAAAATTGCACGCTGGATCTCCTTCATCAACTCCTTCAAATTCAAAATTTATCACATTCGAGGAAGAGACAACGTCATTGCTGATTAACGCTCTGCTACCATATGTGGCGTTTGAGGTGGTGAACTACTGAGTGACGGTGGTACTGTAAACCTAAAATACCATGTGTGCTGATATGCATGTCGAAGATGCTGATGAAAAGTAATTTCGAGATGGGTTTTGCTAACCGGGTGATGGGACCCTAACCAGTCGCAAAATAATTAGTAATCAGGCGTCATTAGGCATGTTAGGCCCTTTTTTATATTCAAGAGGATTACCACCTCATAACTTACACTAGGCTAATATCAGTTTTTTTTTATGTTGTTCAGAAACAAATCTAGGGTTAGGTTTGGTCAATGGGATGCCTTTACTTTACAATAACTTTGATAAACCTGTACAAAAGGAGAATAAACTTAAAAAAAATAACTGGGGTGGGGTGCAAATTTTGTGGTTATGACCAAGAAATAAGCTTATCTCAAAACACTTTTATTTGACTTTTCATATTTGACGAAGACATTTTCCAATATTTCAATCAGAAAAGCCTTTTTATCATCATCAAACAAAAGACCAAAGCTACCTTATTAAACCAATTTATTCACAAACATGTTTGCTGCCTTTAGCAGAGTTAAACGTCTGGAGTCATTCAAATTATTTATTGAAAATAATATCAACAAAAGCAAACAAACAACAAACTGTTTTTACACAAAAGATATGTTGTACTGCGATTTCTATCCTGACAGATAGATAATTTCCTTCTGAGTTTGTTTAAATATTACAATAATTTGTATTACTTTTGAGCTTTTTAGGGACTTTTGTCCCTACAAGCCCCTGTGATTCGTTAAGATATATACTAGTGACCTATTTGAAAGAAAGTTTATACTCAACACAAGAAATAAATCAATCGTTTTCTCTTTTTTTGTGGTTGTTTATTTACATTATAGAATGAAAAAACAAATCTGCTGCACTATTATATTGAACATTGCACTGTTGAAAAGCGAGTAGTCAAAATGTCAATCTTCAACAAGCATGCAGGATGCCAATCGCCAACGTAGTTTAGTTAATTTGTTTCATTCATGTCGCTAGGTGGGATAACCTCTTTGACGGCGAACGGACGTTCATAGGTACAGAATTTTTCACACCAGTACCAGGAGAATGTAAAAGCCGATTTGATTGCTTCCCCAAAGTCGATCCTGTAACCCTTATCTGATGTCCAGGCGTGATCGGTGTATACTCGGCAATTCCAATATCCGTCGTTTAAGTACTGAACAGATATTCTCTTGTAATCTTTTTGCTTTTCCTCTCCTCTTATTCTGATGAGCCTGAGCACTAGGTTGCTATCCACATCACTAAGCTTTATAGGCTTGTTTTCGCGGAGAGTCAAGGTGAAGTATTCTATTGCATAGCCTTTGTAATATACAACCAACCAGAGATTGTTTGAATCGGTGCTATGTTGGCGGCAGGATAGAGCTTCGATTTCAAACAAAGCATTATTTTTCGTCAATTTCATTTTGTCACATTTAGTTTTATCGGGCACTGAAGAATATTTGACTGAAACATAAAAACAAAAAATTTGGTACCAAACAAGAATCGAACGACGTTGTGACTCATACAATTACAAATTCTAAAGCTTTCATGATCTCGGCTGGTGCATCAGAGTTCTCAAGTGCAGCTGGAAGAACCGTTTGTTTGTTAATATTTCAATGACGGAATCAAGTGGGAGACGGACAACGGCCCAGATCTTTGTTTGGGTTAATCCCCTAATTTATGGCCTGAGGGTAGTGTTCACCGGAGGAGGGGTGGGAAATCGAGAATTTTGAATCCCACCGTAGGCGATAACCTTTTGTCAAGGATTTCTCTTAGAATGCAATTACTTCTTAACTGTACATCTTTGGTTAAAATTTAAGGCATTTATAATTTTATGATCAGAACTATTTTTCGATTAGTAAACCTTTATGCGATTGTTTCATTATCAGCAAGTTTGGTTGGTTTGGTTAGGTTATGACCCAGTTTAATTTTATAATTTAAAAATTATAAAATTGAATTTTAGGCATTTGTGATTTTATTTTATCGACATAAAACTATTTTTTGATTGGTAAACCTTCATTCGATATTTTCATTATCTGAAAGTTTGGTTAGTTTGGTTAGGTTATGACAGTTAAATTAAATTTAAATTTAACCTACAAACGATACGTTTTGACAGAGACTCATTTTGCCGCCAACAGTTTAGCTATGCACGGTATGATGCGGAAGCGTTCGACACCAACCTAGAACTGACAGGTCAACCGACCGTGATTAATAGGATTACAGCCTGGACCATGTGCCTACACCAGATAGTGCAGTAAAAATAAGATAAAAATTCCATAAACCTAAAAAAAAATAAATAGCACAACCGGGGAATTTGGTACAGATGTTGGGTGTACCTTCCTTTTGAACATACTAAAAGTCCCCTAAAATTGAAGCTGTGCTACGGCCGCCATATTGGAAAATGGCGGCATATTTCTGTATTTTTTGCTATAGTGACTTTATTATTAGAGATACAGGAAAAAGCTAAATATACAAAATGTAGGTCATCTAAAAATTCACATTTTTTGTATTTACCATCTTTCTCTAAACCCAACGGTTTTTGAGTTATTTGTTATTAAGTATTATATTTAGTTTTTTCCATTTATCAAAAATAGGTGAAACACATGGAAATTGACCGTTACTTTCAAGGATTATGATAATTTATCCCATTTAGTTAAATAGTGTGATACTATAAAATCTTAAAATTTAAGCTTATTTTAAAAGTCATCCCTTTTATTGTTTACTAGGTGGCGTTCGCAGAAGCATCCACAAAATTGAGCGGAGTCATCAATGGTTCATATTATATTGTTTTTGTCATACTGCAGTGAAAACAGTCGTCATTGATGCATGCGTTGCGGGTCTAAAGTAGCATTTTTACTCTTTAGGGAATAAAATTCGTTTTTAGCCTCTATGGAGTAAAACTCAGCTGTTGTCAACTCAGTTGTAAATTTCTATTGTAAACGATTGAATACGTATCGAATTATGTAACGATTCGTGCTTCATAATCATTTTAACCTACAGTCTACAGTCTCTTCCCATTGCATTTTAGCTTTGGAGATACATTAATCCATTCCCACACTCAACACTGCCCACCTTTACTACTTCCTTCACCACCCCCTACGTCGTGGACCTGTTTCCGTCTCTTACCATAGCATTTTAGGATTGCAGATACATTAATGTAATTGCCAAAGACAGTTTCCACACTCTGCACTGCAAGCCTTACTAATTCCTTCACCATTTCCTACGTCATAGACATGTTTCCTTCCCTTCTCACAGCATTTAAGTATTAGATACATTTATCTAACTGCCCAAACGGTTCCCTCACTCTGCACTGCCAGCCTTTACTACTTCCTACGTCGTGGGGGATGTTTCCTTCCCTTCTCATAGCATTTTATGATTGAAGATACATTAATCTAACTGCCACAGACGGTTCTCAACATATGTTCATACCTACTTCCTAACCCACTTCCTACATCGTGGACCTGTTTTCATCAATTTCCATAGCATTTTAGGAATTTAGATACGTTAATCTAATTGCCACAAACATTGCCCACACTCCGCACTGCTAGCCTTTACTACTTCTTTCACCATTTTCTATGTCGTGGGCATGCTTCCATCCCTTATCATAGCATTTCAGCATTGCAGATACATTAATCTAACTGCTACAAACGGTTTCCAGTTCCCAAACTCCACACTGCTCACCTTACTACTTCCATCACCTCTTCTTACGTCGCAGACATGTTTCCCTCTCTTCCCATAGAATTTTAAGATTGTAGATACCAAGATACCATAATCTAATCGTCATAAACAGTTCCCACACTCCGAAAAACTCGCCTTTACCACTTCCTTCATCTCTTCCTACGTCACGGACCTGTTTACCTCCCTTCCCATAGCATTTTAGGATTGGGGATACCTTAATCTAATCGTCATAAACAGTTACCACACTCCAAAAAACTCGCCTTTACTGCTTTCTTCATCACTTCCTACGTCACGGACCTCTTTACTTCCCTTCCCTTAGCATTATTGGAATGCAAATACCTTAATCTAATAGTCATAAACAGTTTCCACACTCCGGACAGCTCGCCTTGACTATTTCCTTCACCACTTCCCACGTCGTGGACCCGTTTTCCTCCCTTCCCATAGCATTTTAGGATTGCAGATACCTTAATCTAATTGTCATAAATAGTTCCCACTCTCCGGACAGCTCGCCTTGACTATTTCCTTCTCCTTCACCACTTCCTACGTCGCGGACCCGTTTTCCTCCCTTCCAATAGAATTTTAGGAATGCAGATACCTAAATCTAATCGTCATAAACAGTTTCTCCTCACTCCGGACAGCTCACCTTGACTACATCCTTCACCACTTCCTACGTCGCGGACCTGTTTTCGTCCCTTCCCACAGAATTTTAGGAATGCAGATACCTTAATCTAATCGTCATAAACAGTTCCCACACTCCAGGCAGCTCGTCTTGACTACTTCCTTCACCACTTCCTACGTCACGGAACCGTTTTCCTCCCTTCCCATAGAATTTTAGGAATGCAGATACCTACCTAAATCTAATCGTCTTAAACAGTTTCCACACTCCAGACTGCTCACCTTTACTACTTCCTTCGCCACTTCCTACGTCACTGACCTCAAGCTAGTGTCGTCATTTGATTATATTTATGATCCATACCACCGTTTATGTTCTAATATCTGTGGAATAATGCTGTAATGGAAGGGGTCGAATATTGTAAAGAGGAAGTGTTTGGCAATGTTGTGTGAGTAGGCTGGTAGTGTTGTTAAACAATAACTTGTTGTGCTGACCTACTGAAGGCTGTTGCTTTAAGTAGGCCAGTGCACTTGATCAAGGGGTCAGTTTTGGTGTGTAGTGTTTGTGTGGTGCACCTGAGGACGGGGTCCTGCTGGGGGAGCTGGAGCCCAAGGCCCTTGGCCTTGGGTCCAGGTAAGAAAATGTAAAGGGTTTTCAAAATTGGGGTTTAGAGTCTTTTCCAAATTGGGGTTTAAGTTCCTAACTTATTTATACAGTTCCAGTCTACTCTACCTTTTTGATTGTTAGTTATCTCTGTGTTCTTTGTGTTGTTTTGAGTAATTATTAAAGTTGGGTTTTGTAAGCGAGTGCTGAGTTTCATTCCTGAGCTACGTCACCCAAAGTAACAGTAAGTATTCCAAGGGGAATACGACCGTTACAAGGTGATGGAAGCGCCAGGAGTTTTGTAACTTTTTACAAAACTTCGATCTTGGTACCTCTTAGATAAATAATTGGCTTTAATTTTTGGGGTTCTTTTAGTGAAGAAAAATTTGGTTTTTGAATATATTTTTTTTTTTAAATTTGTAATCACCACTTTGGTGCAGTTTTAATCAGTTTTTTGGGAGTTCAGTGTGTTTTGGGACAGCAGTGAACGGCTGGAATGTCGTAAATGTGAAGTTTTCCAGTGATGTTTAGTGCGAGTTTATGTGTCATGTGCGGGTTGCACGTGAGTTCGATATGTGTTCGTGTGGGTTACACGAGTGTTCTAAGCGTCATGTGCGGGTTGCACGTGAGTTCGATATGTGTTCGTGTTTGGTTACACGAGTGTTCTATGCGTCATGTGCGGGTTGCACGTGAGTTCGATATGTGTTTGTGTTCGGTGTTCGGTTACACGAGTGTTCTTTGCGTCATGTGCGGGTTGCACGTGAGTTCGATATGTGTTCGTGTTCGGTTACACGAGTGTTCTATGCGTCATGTGCGGGTTGCACGTGAGTTCGATATGTGTTCGTTTTGGGTTACACGAGTGTTCTATGCGTCATGTGCGGGTTGCACGTGTGTTCGATATGTGTTCGTGTTTGGTTACACGAGTGTTCTATGCGTCATGTGAGTTTGATATGTGTTCCTTGAGTTTATTGTGTATCGTGTTTGGAAGCACGAGAGTTTTTGCGTTATGTGCTAAGTGCTCATGGTTGTTAAGCATTGCGTGCTGGATGCACGAGGTATTATGTGTTGTGCTGGCTGCACAGGGTTTTCATTTTTTACGTGCTGGGAGCACAAGGTGAATTTTTGTAATGTGCTGAGTGCACGAGGTATTTTTGTGCTGTATGCTAAGTGCTAGCTGCACAAGGTTTTTATTTGTTCTGTGCTGGGTGCACATGTGTAATGTGTGTTTCAGATGTTGTTTGCTGTGCACAAGTGTGTGTATTTGCCTGGTTAAATATATGTTGTATCTGGGATCTTGTAGTTCCCAGGTTTCTCGAAGATGTGATTCTGTGGTTGCAGACCTGCTATTTCTACTCTAGAGTGTATATTGTGCGAATAATGTGGCGGACACATGTTGTCAAACTATTCTGTTTCAGCTCTTTATGCGCAGTAGATGCAGTGAATGGTGGATCAATATATTATATTTTGTAGAAGTAGTTTGAGGGATAATTATTCATAGTGTATTATGGTGTACTGTTTTAGAAATATATTTGAGTTTAAACTTTAATTTGGTAGTAATATTTTTTTTTTC